TTGCTGCTGGTGTTTGGGTTTCTTACGATTCAGATATTTGTAGAGGTGGAGAGGGCCCGCCTAATCCTTCTGTCTGCGCTGATGAAAGAGAAAGCAGGAAAAATAGAGGAAGCAGCTCTCATGCTGCAGGACGTGCAGGTGAGTTTTTATTCTTTTTCTTTTTGTTTTTTTTTGTTTTTGTTTTTTTGTTTTTTTTTGTTTTGTTGTTGTTCTAGGATTCTTCTGTTTTTTCTTTTCATCTACTCTTCTCTGCCTTTTCCTTTTTCATGTTTTTAATACTCATCGTCTTCTTTATTATTCCTATAAACATCACCCTGCTGTTTTCTCTCTCCATGGGGTTGCCAGCTGCTGCTGCTGCATCTGCAGCACTTTGCTGCAGCAGTTTGCTGCGGCAGCAGCTTGCTGCAGCCGTTTGCTGCAGCCGTTTGCTGCAGCAGCAGTTTGCTGCAGTAGCAGTTTGCAGCAGTTTGCTGCAGCAGCTTGCTGCAGCACTTTGCTGCAGCAGCAGTTTGCTGCAGCAGCAGATATATTTAGCATTAATGTTGTACAAGAAGAACTGCGTGTTACTGTGTGTATGATATGTGTGTATAGGTGGAGACGTTCGGCGCAATGGAGCGTGAGGAGAAGACAAAGTATATTCTGAAGCAGATGGTATTGTTGCTGCGTCGTTCAGATTATATTCGTTGTCAGATAGTAAGCAAGAAGCTCAGCACAAAGCTGCTGGAGGCAGCAGACTTGCAGCCCCTGAAAGTGAAATACTACGAATTGATGGTTCTATACTTTCTCCATGAAGAAGCTCTCCTAGACGTTGCAAAGTGCTTCGGCCATATTTATAATACTAAAATTATTCAGGAAAATCAAAAAAAAATGCAAGAGGTATTGTACACAGAAGAGCTGCATATACACCCCAGAGCTGCATATACACCCCAGAGCTGCACATACACCCGAAGTTTTTCTGAAATACTCCGCCGCTTTCTACTCTTTATTTAAATAATTTTATATTTTTTTTAGAAATATATGCAGAAATAACACTTTATTTACACAAAAGAAAGAATTTCATTTCATATTTCTTTCTTTTGTGTTGCTGTAGGCTGCAGCAACAAAAGCGTTTCAGAACTATAATAATAGATATTATTATTTATTATTCTTTCTATTCATTATTATTATTATTATTATTTTTTATTATTCTTTGTATTGTTGCTGCTGTTGCTGCTGCTGCTGCTGCTGCTGCTGCTGCTGCTGAATTTGTATGCTGCAGTGTTTGGAGTTCTTTGCAATATTTATGGTCCTCGCTCCGTACGACGCAGAAGCAAAAGATCTAATTGCAAAAACTCTTAAAGAGGGTGAGACTGCTGCTGCTGCTGCTGCTGCTGCTCCTACTGCTGCTGCTGTTGCTGGTGCTGGTGCTGGTGGTGGTCTGGCTCTCCTTCGCATGCAAGCTAACTTTTGTTGAAACACTAAACTCCTTCTGCAGCTGCATGCCTTCTTTTCTGTCTTCACGAGGTGTACACGCAGCCTCCTACTTTCTTGCCACTATATCTATTAATATTAATGTTAATATTTATATTTACATTTATATTTATGTTTATATTTATATTTATATTTATATTTATATTTATATTTATATTTATATTTATATTTATATTTATATTTGTGTCTTTGATACTGCAGAGATAAAGAAGGTTCAGCAGCTGCCCACCTTCGAGTGAGTCTGCTGCGGCGGTTGACGGAGCTACTGCAGCAGCAACAGCTGCTGCTGCTGCTGCTGCTGCTGCTGCTGCTGCTGCTGCTGCTGTTGCTGCTGCTGCTGCTGTTGC